ATAGGCCCTGAATGACGATGGTAGTGGGTGTACCATATAGTAATAGGCCCTGAATGACGATGGTAGTGGGTGTACCATACAGTAATAGGCCCTGAGAGAAGATGGTTGAAGTTTCTGATTATATTACTTTGCATTTTTCTCAGGGAATGTTTAGTCTTTCACTAAATGAACGTTTCGCAACGAGTGGTGGCTATATGGGTGAGTAGTATTCTGAATGGAAATGGGAATTTTGTGATTGTTTTAAGAGGAGGCCATTCATAAAATTCACAATAAAAAGTTAAAAAAAAAAAAAAGGGGTGAACTATACTTCCTAGTTCAGTAGTCTCATCTTTTCCAGTCATGTGATACTGTGTGCTTGATGTCTTGCAGGTATCCTAGAATGGCTTTTGGGGAAGAAAGATGCCATGTGGATAGGGTTTATCACTAGATCAGTTCTGGAAAACTGCACAAGGTAATCTATTTGGTTATTTTATTTTCAAATTTATATTTAGCTTATTTTAAATGATTCCTATTAAGATACACAAATATTTTCAACCTCCAGTTTCTCTTCCATTGAGATTTTTTTTTTCCTAATTTCTTAGGTGATGGCTTTGACATTTATATGGAATTTCTCATACTTTGTATGTGAATGTCTGTATGTATTGTATTTCAGGAATAGGAATATGAACTGACTTATTTAAAATATTACTGGGGAGTGTGGTGACTCTGTAGGATAAGCACTAGACTATGAACCACAAGGTTGGTGGTTTGAGGCCACGAGCTGTGCCACAGGAGAACTATAAGGCTTTCTGCTCCCGCAAAGATGTGTTGGAACCAATTCAACGGCACTTAATAGCAATAAGCAATGCTGCTGCCACTATTAAGAGTATCTACGAATTTTAGTGTAACACAAAAAACTGTACACACACACAAAATTGTACCATAAAATCTTCATTTAGATGATAATAAATACTCAACTATTCTGTTCTGGTGCAGAAATTTTATAACAATACTGTCTTTCCATTAGCCAGCACTGCATATAAGTATCCTATTTTTATTGCTTTTCAGGGAATGGGATTTAGTAATCTACTCCTAGTTTTAAAAGCTCTGATATGGTGCTTTTGGATAAGCACTGGACTGCTAACCACAACGTCAGCAGTTCACACCTACCAGTTGCTGTTGGAAACCCAATGCAGGGTCTCTATGAGTGAGAACTGGCTCAATGGCATTTGACAATTTTTAAGAAAGTGCCCCCAGGTGGTGCAAATAAGCAGTAGACTAAAACGGAGTCCTGGTGTGGCGCTGTGGGTTAATGCGCCAGACTGAAAGCCGTTTGAACTGCAAAGTTGTCGATTCAAGCTCACCAGCTGCTCCTTGGAAACCCTATACAGGGTCGCTGTGGGTCGGAACCGACTCGACAGCACATAACAACATTAGCTAAAAGGTTGGTAGCTCTAACCTACCCAGAGTCACTTCAGAAGAAAGGTGTGGCAATCTGCTTCCACAAGGTCACAGCCCTAAAAACCCGATGGAGACTAGCTCTACTCTGTGCACATCGGGTGGGTTGTCTTGAGTCAGAATTGACTCAATGGCAACTAAGAACAGCAATAATTTTCAAGAAGCTTTATATTCTCTAAATCCTATTTACAGTAATTGATACTGTTCCTTGTTCTGCTGAGTAAAACGCATGGACTATAAGGATAGAAGATCTCTTGAAAGCCATCTTTTCTCTTTCACATGTAAGAGACTTTGTAACAATAAGGCTTCAGCTCCTAGTGTTTCTTCACACAGGAACAGAGGCTGTTTCTCCCGAAACCACCGTTTGCCATCTGTTTTAAAATTCATTTTCCTCAGATACTTGCTTTACCCTCATTTCTACAGAGCTAAAAAGTTTCCATTTCTATATTTTCAAAATCAACTAAAAATATTTCGTATTAATTTTTTGTTTCCACATAGTTATGAAGAAGCCAAGAATACATTGAGCAAAACCAAGCTAATGGCCCCGGCATACTTTATTCTGGGAGGCAACCAATCTGGGGAGGGTTGTGTGATTACAAGAGACAGAAAAGTATCTTTGGATGTATATGAGTAAGTATGTTCATTAAACAGAATAGAAACTAAAGCATAGGTTGACATAGTGTAGATTTAAACCTTGAAGCCTAAGCGAGAATCTCTCTTTTTGTATCTAGACTTAATCCTAAACAGGGTATATGGTATGTGGTACAAACAAATTATGACCGCTGGAGAAATCCCTTCTTCCTTGATGACCGGAGAACCCCTGCAAAGATGTGTCTGAACAAGACATCCCAAACGGTATGTTTGCCGTGTCTTATACTGAAAGAAATCGTGGCAATTAAAGATTTTCTTAGTTCTGGCATTTTTTCTTTGGCTTTTGAAGAATTTGTAAGCCTCATATTACTTAGTACCTAGACTGAGTTTTATTTTATATTTAACTTAAAAGAACAAAATTTTGTGCAGTTTTTTTTTTCTTGTCCTAATTCTGTGAAATTGAATGACCCAAGAATTCAAGGGGGTAGGAAAAGAGAACACATACACAGTATGCATGCTAGAGCCGCTTGTATTGTAACAGTCTCTTGTCTTGTAACAGTGATCCTGACAGGAAGTCAGGTAGAACTTTGAAGGAGCCCTGGTGGCATTGTGGGTTAGGCATTAGGCTGCTGGCTGCAAAGTTGGCAGTTCAGAACCCATCAGCCAGTCTGAGGGTGAAAGATGAGGCTGTACTTCCATAAAGATTTATAGTCTTGGAAACTTTATATAGGGTGTGGGTTAGAAGGGATAAATTGAAAAATGTCTTGGTTTCTAATATCCCATAGATAAATAAAGCTGCTGGCATCTGTATTCAATTTACTGAACAGAATTATTTTTATGTTTTAGAACATTTCACTTGCAACCTTATATGATGTTCTGTCTACAAAACCGGTCCTCAACAAGGTATTTCTTTTTCTTTTCTTTAGGTATTTCATTTTATATATTTGTTTTCAGAGAAGAATTTGTTTTATCTGTCCCTATTATCTTGGGTCAATTTGAGCTAGAATATCAAGCCCTGTTCATCTTAACACTACTTTTTTTTATGGTCTTTCTGTGAAAATGTGTCAAAGTTGATCAGTGTCTTGATGACCGCGCTGGTCAGAGTATTGCTTTCAAATTTATTTAAATTGCATTTCAATCAAATGTAGCATTTTACTCCTGATATCTCCCTGTCTCAGAAATCTCAAGCCGTACTCTGCAACACCTAACATTTGACAAAACCTAAAGACCATTTTCAGACAAAGCTGTTTGTATTGTTGCATTAGTGTTTCCCTTAAACCTTTCCATATTCTTATCTTTTCCCAACACTTTAGTTAGAAGCAACCACTCCTCTGTCAGCTTGTCCAGCTGTGGTGGTTTGTGTGCTGCTACAATGCTGGAAACTCTGTGGTTGGTATTTGCGTCACCCTTGATGGACAAGTTTCGATTGAGCCGCCAGACTAACAATGACTAGGAAGGAGGGCCTGGTAATCTACTTGTAAACAAAATTGGCCAGTGAAAAGCTCCCCCTCCCCACTTACTGATTTAAACTGTAACTTTTTATTGTGACTTAGGTGAAGGTTTAAAGAGCAAATCCATTTTCCATTCAACAATTCATACATATTTTATGACACTGATTACATGCTCACAATGTAACAACACTTCCTCTACTTCCTGTGGTTCCTATTTCTAGTTCTCCTTCCTTTCTACCCCTTCCTGCCTCCTGAACTTTGTCCTTAGGCAAATGATGCCCTTTTGATCTCAAATGGTTGGTAGTTCTTAGGAGTGTGTGTGTTACTGCTCATTTCGTTGACCTCTCTGTTATTTAACTGAAACATGATCCATAGGGGCGAGTTCATTTCTAAACCTGAAGGATGTTGTTGTTGTTGTTGTTAAGTGCCGTCAAGTCAGTTCCAACCCATAGCGACCCTGTACAGGGTTTCCGAGGGTGTAAATCCTTACGGGAGTAGAAAGCCTCATCTTTCTCCCGCGGAGCGGCTGGTAGTTTCGAACCACTGACCTTAAGGTTCGCAGCCTGATTTGTAACCACTACACTACCAGATGAAGACCCAAAATCTCTGGAATTTCACCAGTCTCTATTCGACTCATAAACCTAGTCTTTTGTGTGATTTTGAGTTTTGTTCCACATTTTCCTGCCACTCTCTCCAGGACCCTCTATGTGATCCTTTCAGAGCAGTTAGCAGGTGTAGTAGGGCACCACCTAGTTCTTGACTCAGGGTAGAGACTCTTTAACACCAGTGAAACACCGCCTGATGTAGTACTGGAAGATGATAACCTCACACTGGAAGGCACTCAAAATATGACTAGGGAAGAGCTGACTAGTCAGAGTAGAGTCGACCTTAATGATGTGACTGGACTAAAGCTTTCTGAACCTTCATCTGCTGATGTGGCACAACACCAAATGAGCAGAAACAACTACAGACATCGATTAATAATCGTAATGTGAAATGTGTGAGGTATGAATCGAGGAATATTTTAAGTTATACATAAAGTACAATGCTATCAGTGATAAGATAATATCCATGCACCTACAAGTCCTTTTGTGGTACTAAAGGATAAGCACTGGACTCCAAACCATAAGACTGGCAGTTCAGACCACCAACCACTCTTTGGAAACTGTCTACAGGGTTGCTGTGAATCAGAACTGACTCAGCGGCACTTAACAAGAACAACAACAAAGAAAACCAGTATGGCTGGTAGGTAAATTTATGCACCAGGCCCATAATACCAAAGATGAAAAAATTGAAGATTTTTACCAATTTATATAATCTGAAATGATCAAGCATGCAGTCAAGTTGCATTCATAATTATTGGTGAGTAGGAGGTGAAATTTTAAAAACAAAGAAGGATCAATAGTTGAAAAATACTTAGGGCCTTAGTGATAGAAATGATGCCAGTGACTGCATGAAAAAATTTTGCAATTTTAAAAACCGACTCGACGCACTTAACAACAACAGTGAAATATGCAACGATCTGGGGTTAGAAATCAAAAGGAAAGAGCACACTGGGCATTTCTCAAGCTGAAAGAACTGAAGAAAACAAATTCAAGTCTTGAATTGCAATATTGAAAGATTCTATGGGCAAAATGCTTTTCAGTTTATGGTGTTGGAGGAGAATATTGAAAGTGCCACGGGCTGCCAAAAGAACCAATAGATCTGTTTTGGAAGAAGTGCAGCCAGAGTGCTTCTTGGAGGCCAAGATGGCCAAACTTCGTCTCTCATACTTTGGACATATTGTCAGGAGGGACCAGTTGCTAGAGAACGATATCATGTTTGGTAAGATGGAGGGTCAGAGGAAAAGAGGAAGACCCCAACAAGATGGATTGGCCAAGTGGCAGCATCAATAGACTCAAGCGTAGTAACAGTTAGTGAGGTTGGCCCAGGATCTGGCAGTGTTTCGTTCTGCTGTGCATAGGGTCGCTATGGGTAGGTACTGACTCGATGGTACCTAACAACAACAACAGCAACAACATGGGCAAAATATTGAGTGACACAGGAAGCATCAAAAGAAGATTGAAGAAATACAGAGTCACGGTACCAAAAACAATTGTTTTATGTTAAAGCATTTCAAGGGGTAGCATATGATCAAGAACCAACAGTTTTGAAGCAAGTCTAAGTTGCATTGAAGGACTTGGCTGCAAGTAGAGAATACCAGAAATTATGTTTACTTGAGTTCACTTGTTACAATCCACATAGGCATTCCACTGTGTAGATCATAATAAATTATGGATAATATAATAATGGAAATTTCAGAACACCTTTTTGTGTCCATGTGGAACTTGTACATAGACAAAGAGGCAGTCGTTCAAAAGAGAGAGGGCATACCGCATGTCTTAAAATTAGGAAAGGTGTTGATCAGGGTTGTATCTTTTCACATTACTTTCTCAGTCTGTCCACTGAGCACATAATCTGAGAATCTGGGCCATATGAGAAAGAACACAGCATCAGGATTGAAGTAAGTCTCATTAACAACCTACGATATGCAGATGATGCAACCTTGCTTGCTGAAAACAAAGAAGACTAGTAATGCTTACTGATGAAGACTACAGACCAGTAGGGATTACATCAACATCACGAAAACAAATGCTCACAACTGGACCATTATCAAAAGAGAAAATATTTACAGGGACTTCATTTTACTTAGATCCATAATCAATACTCATGCAAACAGCAGTCAAGAAAATCAAACTTTAACACAGCATTGGAGAGACTGCTGCAAATATAGCTCTTTAAAGTGTTAAAAAGTATAACTGTCACTTTGAGAACTATTAGGTGTGGCAGCTCAAGCCATGCTTTTTTCAGTTGTGTCGTATGTATGCAAAAGCTGGACAATGAATAAGGAAGACTGACAAACTGATGGCGAAGAATATTAAAGATGGAAGAACTGATTGGGGAAGAATATTAAATATAACATGGACTGCCAGAAGAGTTAACAAATCGATGTTGGAAGATGTACATCCAGAATGCTCCTTAGAACTGAGGATGTTGAGACTTCATCTCATGTACTTTGGACATGTTATTAAGAGGGACCAGTTCCTGGAAAAGGATGTCATGCTTGGTAAAGTAGAGGGTCAGTGACAAAGAAGAAGATCTTTAACAAGTTATACTGACACAGTAACTAACTGCAACAAGAAGTGTTATTTCATCGTTCCCTTCAACATGTTATACCTATGTTTGCCATAAGTCAGAACGGATGCAGAGGCAGCTAACAACAATATAGATAGAAAAAAGGCAAAAAGATTCCTAATTGTCCAATTTGCCAGTTGTCACCCAATGTGAGTTCAGAATGTATGTTCCCTGAGTTTGCCAATGGATCCTTCTCTGCATTTTCTTAGCCCTCTTCCCTAACTTACCTCTGGTACGTCTGACAGTAGGAATTCCACCAGCCTGTAGCGTTTGCATCAGAACCTAGCTCCTTCAGGAAGTCTTCAATTTTCTGTAATTATGACCATGCTGTAATTCTCATTTTGCTGAGAACACCTTCCTGTGTGACCACAATTATGTGACTTCTGTATTCTCTGTGACTCTTGGTGTGCATCGTATGTGGGTTCTACAGTCTATGTGCCTGCATATTTCCCCACTGTATTATAAATACTTTAAGCATAAGGACATCAAAAGTTAAACTGTTTATTGTATTCTGTTAGGCTTTGCACAAGAGTGCAGTTTATAGTTTCTGGAAGGCTGAGACTTAAATCTCTTCAAGTGCTGCTGGTGAAGCAGTATTCTGCTCAGGAATCAAGCTTTGTAAAGCATTGAAGAGATTTTCTCCTGAGCTTATTTATATGTATTTATTTATAGTCACTACTGGGCATGGTATAGGAGCCCTGATAGTGTGGTGGGTTAAACAGTGGGCTGCTAACCAGGTCAACAATTTGAGTCCACCAGGTACTGCTCCTGATAAAGTGAGACTTTTTGCCCCTTGTAAAGACATAGAGAGGCAGAGATTGTAATCATTGCAAAGAAATGATGAGTGTAAAACCAATGTTCTCCCATGTAAACTATCACTCAACTCACAATATAAACTTAAAAAAAGAGAGAGAGAGCTCTATAAAAGGTCACTATGAGTTGGAACTGACTCAATGCCACACAGCCATCTGGCCACTGGGCACACTGTTCTATTGAAGTTGGTTGTTTTGTTTACCCTTATTTAAGTCATTTCTTAAAGTAGATTCTGGTGGTGGTGGTGGTGGTGGTGATGGTGTGCCGTGGAGTTGGTTACGACTCATAACGACCCCGTAAAGGGTTTCTGAGGCTGTAAATCTTTATGGGAGCAGAAAGCCTCATCTTTCTCCTACAGAGCACCTGGTAGACTCGAACTGCTGACCTTGAAGTTAGCAGCCCAACCTGTAATTGACTATGCCACCCGGGCTCCTTAAGCAAATTCTAGAAATATGAAAATGCTAAAATCAGTCAGAACATCTTATAACTGAAAGCATCCTTAACGTAAAAATAACTTTTCTTTCAGCTAACTGTATTCACAACTTTGATGGATGTTACCAAAGGGCAGTTTGAAACTTACCTGCGGGATTGTCCAGACCCTTGTATAGGTTGGTAAGCATCTGGCCTCTAGGATGTGCTCAAGGACAAGAAGACACTGATCTCGTGTGTTGTCGACAGTACAGCCAGCAAACCTCCCTCCAGAGACTCCTGCAACTCAGAGCTGGTTCATACGAGGCATGAGCTTGTCCTCAAGATGTTTACAAATCACAGGCCATTTCTGCCGTGAACGTCAGTGGTTTTTACTTACAGCTAACATGTTTAAGTACTACAATCATGTCAAATTAATTTGCTGGGGTTCATTTTACTTTGAGATTATTAAACTACTATGGGCCTCAGGTATACTGAGCAAAGTAAGACCCTCTGTGAGCATTTAATAGTATATATCTATATGAGAAATAGTCAAGTAATTAGTAATCTACATGACTAATTTTACTGCATATTGTATGCTTTTCTGTGTAGCAGTCTTGCCCTGTTTCTAACAACTATTAAAGTTAACTCACTGGTGTTTTTGCTGTTTGTGACCGCAGTGTAATTTCCCTTGTTTTGATTGGAGGAAGATGATTCTTAATGTCTATTAAGAATGTACATATTCCACTGCATATTCTTAATAGGCAATAAATGGCTTTTGCCTTGTGAATGGAAGTGCTTTTGAGGTTCAGTCTTTAAGGCAGTTTTTTCTGCAAACAACTTAAAATGTTTCCTTTTGTTGTAATTATTCTACCTACTAGTAACCCTAAGAAGTTAACTTTTAAAACTGAGTCCTAGGTTCTGTGAACTAATAGTAAATAGACAAGCAAAATAGAAAATAAACAGGAGTCCTGGTGTGGCACTGTAACATAAGCACCGGGCTGCTAATCATAAGGTTGTGGTTCAAACCCACCAACTGCTCCTTGGGAACCCTATACAGTGTCTCTGTGAGTTGGATCCGATTCCACGGTGCTTAGTAACAACAACAAACAACAAGCAGGTCAAACACTTACGGAAAATGGTCGGTGAACCCATTATTTAAAATTCTTACAAGTATTAGATTAAATGAGTAGATTTTTATTTTGTCTTCATCATTGTGGCATTTAAAAAACTAAATATCGGCATTGAATATATTTTTCAGAAGTCTGTTTATGAAAAGTGCTTGTAGAACTTATTAATAGCCTTTCTAACTAACAATTAACTGTGAAATATAGGCTACTGGGGCAAGAGTCTCAGCGCTACACTATTAGAGAATGTCACTTGTCTTCAGAAAGCTCAATAGACAGTTACTGAAGTGCTGTCAGTTGTCAGTCATGCGTCGATTGGTTGGATATTGTGAATTGGTTAGAGTGTGGGAGTTATTGTGGAAACATAGGAGGTGAACATAACTAAATTAAATAACAAGGATTATGTAAGGCGGTTATTAAATTTATGACTAATTAGTCACAGTCTTACATGAATAATCTAGTATCAACCCAGTTTGCAGGTGTCCAGATGCAACATTTCCACCTGATCGGAGGTGCTTTTACAGAACTGCATGGCTTCCAATGTAAGTGTGAAGCAAGAGGAGTTACAACAGAATCTGTGTTAAAATAGGATTTGATTGATTGAGATTTTCAGTCTTGAATTTTATCTCTCTTATAAAACTCAAGTGAGGTAAACTAGATGTCTGTTTGCTTTTTAATGTGGTATCCTTGGGTATGCATGATGATAAAGAGGTGAGGCAACAGTGCCTTCAAATGATTCCTCAGAGAGTTTGGAGGAAATAACCACTAGTATAAAAGTGGAGGGGGGGGGAGTTATAAAATAGGATATTTAACATAAGCTTATTTATGGAGCTCTGGTAGCGTAGTGGTTACGAATCGGGCTGCGAACCTTAAGGTCAGTGGTTCGAAACTACCAGCCGCTCCGCGGGAGAAAGATGAGGCTTTCTACTCCCGTAAGGATTTACACCCTCGGAAACCCTGTACAGGGTCGCTATGGGTCGGCTCCGACTCAAAGGCACTTAACAACAACAACAATTTATGGAGCACTGTGTGCATGTACTTTCACATAACTAAGTACACATGTAGACTACATAGAATATAAAAAGATGACCTAAGATGATATTAACTGAAATGTTAATAACAGTTCTCCATGGATAGTGGTATAAATTTTGAGACAAATAAACTCAATATCCATGAACGTTAATGAGACTGCACTGGACAAAATGAAGATCCAGGTTGGATACAAACCATGGACTATCATAACCCCCACCCTTCCTGAGCCTGGTTTTAGGGCATCTGATTTAAAACGGAGCGCTGAATCTTATCTCTATTCCTTTTCACATGTAGTTCCAAGGTGATAGAATAATCGCTGCCTGTAAAAAGGGTCAGTGTGAACACAGCCTGCCACCTTACTGGGTAACCCATAAGTGAAGTATGCACTAAGGACCAGTTATAACCTGTCTTGCTGTGGTTATGTATTGGCCTAGCTTCTTGGGTGGAATATGAATGTGGAATGACTTCTTTCACCCATCTCATAGCAACTGGTGGCCTGTCAACATACCCTCCTCAGTTGCCCTGAGCATATGCCAACATTCCCAGGTACCATTTAACCAAGTGTCTGTGTGTATGGTACTTGGCCAACCCCACTGCTATGATCTGTTTGCAGTGGGGAGGGAGTGAGCAACTTCTGCAGCACAAGTAGGGTGTGTGCAGACCATTCCCTATGTTGGTTGCTGCAGGGACTGATTTACTGTCCACAGTTGAAGCTAATCTTGCCTGTCTTTTCTGTATGGGAGTAAAACGTTCCATCCAGTGTTTGTTGTGTAAGTCATGTCTTTCTTGGAAAACATAACTCTTACAACTGTGGCCTGGGTTACTATCTTCCACGTGATGCAACTTTCCCCCTGGAGGTGACATAAATGTCACTTAAGACTTATTTTTATCCAGAATTTATTATGTACTAGACCTTGTGCTAAATGCTTTGCATATATGAGGGGGAGGGCACCAAAATGTTCATGAAAAGTATAATTAAAAGGTAATGGGTTTTTAGGCAAGAAGTGACTGGCTTGCAAGCTTTCAAGAGGGAGCCTAGTTCCAGACGGGGCAGGGGTAGGTAGAATCTCCACCGAATGATTTCCAATCTCTTGGGACTGGGCTGGTGAAAGGAAATGGGGATAAGACTTTTGTGGTACAACAGTGAATAATTGCCATCAGGACTGACTGTGAGGGTAGGAAATGTAGAGGTAGATGTTTTTCGACAAAAGGAGGGGCGTGATTGACTTTCCAGTCCAGGAGCAGAGGTCCCTGGGACCATCAAGTGAGAAGAGCGGAGAGTGGGACCCTACCCAGAGATGCAGTGACGCCAGAAATGGAGGCAGAGACGATGACATGGACAGATGGAGCTCTGGCCTCAACGAGGGAGAGGGGCTGTGTGCCGACTACCCGGGTGGGGGTGGGGGGCGGGCCTGTGTGGTATACCCTTTGGTTACTTGATGATGCATGGAGGGGATTGTAATCATTGCAATGAAACAAAACATGAGTTTTTTCAAACCCCCTTGTGTTTTACTTGATCTTCACAAACCCCATTTACAGTTGAAATCCCACTTGCCCCTGAGAGAATAAGGTTAAATAACTTGGTCAAAGACACATTAACAGTTTATTAACACCAGGAGCTGGGCCAGCTCTGTCCAGCTTTCATTCTCTTAGCCTTGACCCTGTAATTTTAACCTTTCAAACTAGACTGTAAAGAGCTTTGTCATTTCAGACCTGCACTTTAGCTGGAGTATTCCAAGCTGTCATGCTGGGTCTGGACATCATTTTTGTATGGTTTTATATTAGTTCTCTGGGTATACTATTTGGTTCCATTTGGGTTTAGGAGCTTGGTGAGAGCGTATTTATCTAATAGGTCATTTGTTTTCATTGTCTGAGTGTAACTAGTGCTCACCCTGTGGGAATTCAGTTAGAACCTCAGTCTGATTTTGACTGTGAGCCAGCACTACACTGAATATAGGAACCGTTCCCTTGAAATGGTTTAAATCTCTAGAAGCCTAAGCTCTAAAGCCATCGCTAGTCTCACAGAACATGAAGAATAGTATTTGTTAATTGGGATAGATTTGCATAAGTCAACAGCTTAGCATTATAGATGGAGTCCTGGTGTGGCACTGAACTGCTAACTGCAAGGTCAATGGTTCAAACCCAGTAGCCACACCTCGGAAATCCTATACAGGGTCGCTGAATCAGAACCAGCTTGATGGCACTGAATCACAGTAGCATTATTTGACACCCATGGCAAGCTGGCCCCACACTCACAGCAGTGTCCTGTCCACCAACCTCGGTGGCCGCTCCACCAAGCTTTTGTCCACAGCCTATGGGAGGACGGTGTGAGGTCACATATCAGGCCTTTCTTCCGTCCTGAGAGACATCTTCCCTCGTGTGGTGGGAGAAAGGACCCCTGGTGGTGCTGTGGATAAAGTACTGGGTTGCCAACTGCAAGACTGCTCCACAGGAGAAAGATGAGACTTACAGCCTCAGAAACCCTAAGGGGCACTTTTCCTGTGTCCCACAGGGGCTCACTGAGTCAGAATCTACTTGATGGCAACAGGTTTTGAATTGGGAGAGCAGCTTTTGTCCCAGACTGTCCTTTCAAGGATACCTGGCTAGCAAACTGCCTTAGGGACAGAGTGCAGATTTTGTTTCCTGACTAGGATTATAAAGGTTTGTGTCTGCCTGAAGGCTGGTTTGCTGGTGTAGCAGGTCCCTTATAGGAGCGGGGGCTCCTCAGCCCCATTTTGCTGTTCCACACTCACTGCTGATGCATATGATACTCATGCTGCCTGGTGTGTTGTGGTAATGAAGTCCTTACCCTCTGACCCAGGAGTCCACCAGCATCTCAGAACCTAACAGGCTAACTTGCTAGCTTGCAACTTGGCGGTGCTTGCTCTTGAGTTGGCTCTGACTCACGGTGAATGGATCAAAATGCTGCCCAATCCCTCACCGTCTTCATGATTGCCGACATGCTTGAGTCCATTGTTGCCTTATAACCTGGGACATCTTCTGACACTATGTTGGACAATATTCTGAGGGCTCTGGTTTTGTTTTGTTT